TTTCTCAGCTAAACCTGTATTGAATTACTTCCATGTATTTATGGTATATGGAACGTATTTATATTACTTTTATGAATTTATGGTAAAGGGAACGTATTTGTATTACTTTCATGTATTTATGGTAAAGGGAATGTCGTTGTATTACTTTCATGTATTTATGGTAAAGGGAACGTATTTGTATTACTTTGATGTATTTATGGTTAAGGGAACGTATTTAGTTTACTTTCATGTATTTATGATATATGGAACGTATTTATATTACTTTTATGTATTTATGGTAAAGGGAACGTATTTATATTACTTTCAAGTATTTATGATAAAGGGAACGTATTTGTATTACTTTCATGTATTTATGGTAAAGGGAACTTATTTAATTTACTTTCATGTATTTATGATATATGGAACGTATTTGTATCAGTTCGTTTGTTTACGTAAATGCTCCAGTGACCAAAATACGCAGTGATTTCTGAACATCAAAAGCAATTTCCACTGTGCTTGTTTAGTGCTGAAATAAACTTATAAAAGCAGCTCTCATAACTGGCCAATTATAAGTCCACATCCTATAGTAACGTATATAAGGCGAGTGTTACACTTCGTCTGAGAAATTGACATAAGTATGCTGCAGTTAAGTCTCAGAAAATGAATGTTGTTCCAACGCTTTAAAAATTAAACTGTACATTATTTTGTTGTTACCTAAGAGGATAATCTATAAAGGAAACGTATAATTAGTACCAATTTTTACATATTTAGTACGGACTAAATTACATAAGCACTATTTTTGTGTTATAAGTACTAATTCTCACATATTTGGTCCAGACTAAACTACATAAGCACTATTTTTGTGTTATCAGTACTAATTTTTACATATTTAGTACGGACTAAATTACATAAGCACTATTTTTATGTAACCAGTACTAAATCTCACATATTTAGCACGGACTAAATTACATAAGCACTATTTTTGTGTTATCAGCACTAAATCTTAAATATTTAGTACGGACTAAATTACATAAGCACTATTTTTGTGTTATAAATACTAATTCTCACATATTTAGTACGGACTAAATTACATAAGCACTATTTTTGTGTTATCAGTACTAAATTTTAAATATTTAATACGGACTAAATTACGTAACCACTATTTTTGTTTTATAAGTACTAATTCTTGCATGTTTAGCGTTTTGAAGTAATGAGTAAGTTTGTATTATTGTTAACTGCTCTTCGGGAATCAAATGTATTTTCGGGTTTTAGTTGACTCAAACAAAATCATGATTCTTCTAATAAACGTAAATTTATTTTATGGTAATAGAAACAGATATACCAGGTTTTGAGTGTTGCTTTTTGGTGTTGTATAAAAATCAAATTTATAGGTGATTATCAACTTTCAACTCTACATGATACTTATTATTACAAACCTTCTGATATTAGACGTTCTCTTATCTCCCAGGCAAAAATGGTCGGGTTTTCCCTCTTATATTTTTCAATTTGTGCCACTACTACAGGTGTTGCCACTTTCGGCTTGCTTCCGCCTACAATTCCCTGCCTCAAAGATCCTGTTTCGTAGTACCTTCCTATAGACAAAAACAGGCTTAAGTAATGAGATAAAAATACTAAAATGTTAGCATAAACTCTCCATAGTTTTCACTGATCAGATAGTCATTGTTACCTCCGAGTTTATGTTTTAACCCCTGTGTGTGTTTGTCAGCAAGATTTATTGAAAACGGCTGAATGGATTTGAAAAAAATTTAGTATACATTTGGACTACGACCAACCTTAGAAGGCATTAATTTTCGGAGGGTCAAGATCAAAAGTCAATGTCACAACAAGGTCACGAAAATCCAAAAAATCTTATCTGTTAACATGAGGGCCCATTTTTCACATGCTATTTACTTTATAACTCAGTCGAAAATGATCAGATTTTCATTAAACTTGGTAAACATATGTAAAATGTTATTCCTCATTATAATGCCAAAAATGGTCTGTGTTCGTTGATAATGACGGACATACGGACACATTTTCGTATTGTTTTCAGAGCCGAATATGATCAACGCTGCGTAGCGGAGGTATGTACTCTCCTGAATGCCCCTCTAGTTTTAAAACTTTTGAGTCTTACGAGTTATTTTATTTAGCAATGTTAAAATACACGCATTTCATTTAGCAATATTAAGATACACGCATTTCATTTCTTTATAAATAATATTCATAACTTGCATGCAATGCTTACGTGATACTATATTGAAAAGTACAATATTGAAAGGAAAAAAATATTGAAATTGAAAAATTTGTAGGAAACAAAACTGTATTCCTTTTATGGACCAATTTTGTTGTCGCCTATCTGTACAAACCATACTAAAATTACACGTTACTTCAATTATGTGGGTCAATGGTAAGTTTAAGAACTTACAACATTAAAGTCTTGGGTTCGATTCCATGTGGTGGACAGATCGCAGATAGAGCATTATGCAACTTTGCTCTAAAACAACAACAACAGCCTTAAATATTATTATTTTTAGAGGACTTAGTTAACACTGATCTGAAGAATATTTTTCCTTTAGTATATAAATGCCCCCAGTGGCACAGCGGTATGTCTGCGGACTTACAACGCTAGAACCCGGGTTTCGATACTCGTGATGGGCAGAGCACAGATAGCCCATTGTGTAGCTTTGTGCTTAACTTCAAACAAACAAACAATATATAAAACAGTAATAACGAACCAGCATAATAATGCACAAATGATTAATGAATTATCAAAACATAAAAAAACGACTTGTCGTTGTCTTTCTCTTGGAGCCATCTTCAGGATAACCGATAAGCAATAAAAGAAAGCGTTCATTATACAGTGTAGTGAATATACCTTAATAAACTGTTTAATAAAACTATTAATACATTATTTGTCATTATACAAATAATGAGGTACAATGTATTAGACAGAATTATAACGGATAAATATTTATAATAAAATGTATTATAAAATTATGATGACAATTCGATTGCGAAGACATGAGTGAACTGACTCGGTAAATGTTGACTGTTAACTTAATCTACACACGTTATGAATTTAAAACAACGTTCGAAAAAACATATTTTTAACTTCTTCTAGTGAAATATTGGTTTTGAGGTCAACTCTAGGCAATGAAATCACAAAGTGCCCATCGAGGTCAACTCTAGGCAATAAAATGACCAAGTACCCATCGAGGTCAGCTCTAGGCAATGAAATCACAAAGTACCCATCGAGGTCAACTCTAGGCAATAAAATGACCAAGTACCCATCGAGGTCAGCTCTAGGCAATAAAATCACAAAGTACCCATTGAGGTCAACTCTAGGCAATAAAATGACCAAGTACCCATCGAGGTCAGCTCTAGGCAATAAAATCACCAAGTACC